ACTACCTATAGAAAGCTCTTAGGTTGATTAGCCAAGGATGGGCCTTCACCACCAACAAGAATTTCTCAAGCAATCCAAAGGAGGATGCTCTATGTTTCCACACCAAAGAAGATGAATTTAGAAGGTTGGATTTGCTAGAATCCCCTCCTAGATGGCTGACCCCCTTGGTAGAGAATGAGAGGATTTGGTTTCCCTCTTAACTCAAGAACACAAGAGAAAACCCTAGGATGAGATGATACCATCTTTATCTATATAAAGGGGTTCAAATAACCCATGTGGCCTCACCCAAACCCTATGGCCGGTTTTGGCCTTGTTATGCCTTTGACCCTTTGTCTCGTAAGTTGTCAACTACAACTTAACTTACAAGCCCAATGAATTAATAAATCTCTAGTAAATAATTAATCCTTGTTCATCATCTCCTAATTAATTCCATCTCTAGGCTTTATGGGTATGTGATCCATTAGGTTCTAAGGCAAGGTAGTGGGCAATTCAAACTCTTTCTTAATCGATTATGAAGTAAAACTCCCTTTTGATTTTCCCTTTAATGAGGACCCACATTTGGTATATCCTCAGAGCTTCCACAAGTCATGGGTAACGTCTAGCATCGTGCCATGACTATCCAAGCCGATATAGAAGTGGTAGAGAACCTATTCAGTTGGAATACGACAACAATGTAATTCGGTCCTTTTCTAACTCAATGGTCTTGTTCACATCATTAGGGCACCGAATTCATGTCCAGCTCCTAATGTGAACTCCTAACCTTGTATGATTCATAAGAACATAATTAGAATCTCTATTCTTGATCGTACTCAATGCTTTGGCCAAAGACTTCTGAATCATATCACCAGAGCATTCTCCCTCTTTACTAAAGGTATAGATCCCTTGTTGTACACTCACCTACCTCCATAGAGTGATTATGAACCTTAACAATATTTTGGAGTCGTGCCTTCGAAGGAACTTGACTATTTATTCTTATCAAAGGCCCACAACGCTTCCATAAGACAATTGTGGTGCCTCAAGTTGAGGACTAACTTTAGATTATTGCAACTATAGCGATCTTATTTGACATGTAAGGAAAACTTCCATACAAGATCTCTTGCTTGATCACGTTCAATGAATTCATTCTCTAATGAACACCCATACACCTATCTTAGTGTCATCTACACAAATGACTTGAGACCAATCATCCTCCCAATTGAGCATATATGGTGTATGTCGGTCTTTGCAGATCGTCAATGCCTAATTGGACGATCTTATGACTAGGAACTCTTTAGGGTGTGAGCTATAGGGAAAGGTCTCCTAGATCTAACTTCCTTAGATTGCTTTTTCATCAGTGTGTCCTTATTGGCAGGGGCCGAGGTGTGCTTAGGCCTGCAAGGGCCTTGGCCCTCCCAAAATTCTGAAATACTATAAATATTGCCTTTGCATTGTACAACTTAGGACAATATATATATTAAATTAATGCTTGTGGCCCCCCACAATAAAGAGTAGGAGGGATTTACATTTCCCCCTCCAACTAAAAGACTCTTTCCTTAGCAATATGGTAAAGTTACTCCTAGATCCTACCAACATAATTTTAAAAAATTAAAAGAAACAGCCAGATGACTTGAGACCAGTCATCCTCCCAATTGAGCATATATGGTGTATGTCGGTCTTTGCAAATCGTCAATGCCTAGTTGGACGATCTTATGACTAGGAACTCTTTAGGGTGTGAGCTATAGGGAAAGGTCTCCTAGATCTAACTTCCTTAGATTGCTTTCCCTATGAGTGATGTTATTGCACCTACGAAGGTCATCAAATCCGTAAAAGTGTTCAGGTCCTCCAAATGTTGAGGGAGGGTGAGGAAATAGGTTAAGAGTCTTAAAAACCTAGGTTTTTTCATAATAGCCGCATGTACCATACAAGGGGGTGCTTCCACCCATTAAGTAGTGATGATTGTTGTCTTTTATGGTTAATAACATATTTAGGGTTGGAATAGTGATAATTTGTAGTTTAAAATTAAAATTCTTTTAATTTTTTTTTATCGAGGAAGGGTGGTCATTTTATTCAATTAAAATTAATATTCTTCAAACATTTTGAGTGATCCCTCAATAAAAGAAGACCATGTATGTGTATATATATATATATATGTGTAAAGTGAAAGGCTATTATGGTAAAATGCTCCAATAGTCCAAATAAGCCCTAATTTAATAAGTATTTTCAAAACACAACTACTTCAGTTTAAAGAGGCAAATATGTAAAACAATATTATATTACAATATAAAGTTTAAAGAGGCAAATATGTAAAACAATATTATATTACAATATAAATAATAATAATAAAAAATCCATGTCCACATTAAAAAAATATCTTATTGATAAAATAAACAAATAAAAAGATAAAAAGTAAAACTATATTGACATAAGCGTGAGTGCGGGTCCATAAACTACTATATAAATAGGGTGGTGATTTTTCCACTCCCTTTTTATCAACCTACGTTCCCTTTTATTTTATTTTTTAATACTTTTTACTATAAGATAAAAAAGAGTGTAAGTGAACAAAAAAGGAGTGAGAACATATAATTTAAAAAAAAATGAAATGTTAGTGGATAAAAAGGGAGTGGGAAAATCAGTACCCTATAAATAAAACTAATAACAATATAAATCTTAAAATAGTAAAACGAAAGGCTTATTTTCATTTTGTTGAGTTTATTGTCTAAGTTTGAATTTACACATTTATTCCTCATGTTCGTATGTGTACGTAGTGATTGTTTTGTTTTTTTTTTTTTTCTTGTCTTTCTTGTTTTTGTTTTGTGTACAAAGTTTTAGTATTCTTTTAATCTATACTTAGCTAAGTTTATCACATTAAGTGCTAAGTTATTTGGTGAAAATAGGGAGAAGGAGATTGGTAAAATTCTATTTGGTAAATTTTTCATACTAGATATTTAGTATGTTATGTTATTTTTATACAAGCAAGGGAAGATGAATCAAATACATAACCTAACGTGCATGGGTAAATAATCTTAATCACTTGAGTTGCAAGCTGCAACCCTATTGTATATTATGTTAAGAAAATATTGATAGTGTGATAATATAATCTCCACTAAGTATCGCTTATTGCCCTTTCTCAACCAAAAAAAGAAGTAGATGGATATTAATAAATAAAAAAATTGTAATTCCATTGAAAAAACAATGGAGCTTAAACAAATGCATGCAAGAGTGTATTTTGTGCTATAACTTGCAACTGTTGAGGATAAAAAATCATACGTTGATGATTTCAAGATTGTGCAGAAATATGACATCCGATTCTCTAGGATGGTTCATGGTTTTGAGGAGACTTTTATTCAAGGGAGAAAATGAAAATGACATATTTTATGCTCACCACTTTAACTTAAGATGTATTCTCATCATTCTTCTTAATATTTGACATGTGTTCATACGCATAATTATGATTAATTTTTTCCTTTGTATTTATGAAACCGTAGTTTTGCATATGAACATGTATCAAGTGTTGAGAAGGATGTTGATACAGCTTAAGTTAAAGTGGTGGGCAAAAATACTTTCGAACCTTTATGAAATTCCAAGTCAGGATTTTAGTTAGTTGAAATATAACTTTTAGAAAAACATGTCCCATCTGATACAACCAATACACAGAGATATTTGGCCATCTGATAAAAAAATTCTACAATTTGAATCTAGACAAATTATGAGTTGTTTATTTTAATACATGAACATTATAATTTTAAATGTCTTCGAATGAGACGTTTAAAATCAACATGCATGCTCAGTGGCGGACGCACAGAGGGACAAATGGGGTCAGGCGACCCCATGGAAGCTTGGAAACGCAGTGGAGAAGGACTGGTGCGACCCCATGGCGCACACCAAGTGCTCGACGAAATACCCAGCAGAGGAAGAAGAAGAAGCTGGCGCAGGCAGCGCCTGCCTTGCGCGCGCGCGAGTTCTTTTTTTTTTTAAACCGCCTGGCCAAAACGACGCCGTTTTGGTCCAGGCGTGTTAAATTTTTTTTTAAAAACCTGGCTCAAAACGACATCGTTTTGAAGCCAGGTTTAAAAAAAAAAAAACCCATCAGCAGCCCCTATCTACCCGATTCTAATTCCCAGCAGCAGCATTCAGTTCATCCCAAAACCTAATTTTTTTTTTTCAAAATTCCCTCTCCTCTAAAAACCTAACTAATCCCCCCAACCTCCACCACCAACCACTACAGGCCGCCGAAACTTAACACTATGACCCCATGGCGACGTAATCCTGCGTCCGCCACTGGTCCTAAGTTCAATTCCACCACCCCGAATATCGCTTGTATAAAAATACAAAAACAAAAACAAAAATTTAGTAGGCTAATTTTATAATTTTAAATTACAATGATAATAAGGTAAAAAAAGATTTTTGCCTCCATTAAAATTCACAGTTTCTTTGTATTTTGCAACCCTATTATATATTATGTTAACAAAATATTGATAGTGCGATAATATAATCTCCACTAAGTACTTGTCTCTTAACTTAAGAGCATTCACCTCCGCACCCGAGGTCCTAAGTTCAATTCCACCACCCCGAATATCGCTTGTATAAAAATACAAAAACAAAAAAAAAATATTTAGTAGGCTAATTTTATAATTTTAAATTACAATGATAATAAGGTAAAATAAGATTTTTGCCTCCATTAAAATTCATAGTTTCTTTGTATTTTTGTATAAGATAAAAATGAAAAGAAATGCAACATATTATGATAGGTCTGAATTTTTTTTTTTTGACAAAAATAAAGAGTAGAAAAACACATATAGCACAAGAATAACAAAGCTTAAAAAAAGAAAAAGAAGTCATATAAAATTGACCAGATCCCTTAATTTTTGTATTTGATAAGACCAGATCCCTTAATTAAAAAAGTGCCAATAAATTAAGAGGCTGGAATCTTCATTAATTGACAGTGATGGATGCATCATTTGTTTTGATCTCTCCAGTTCTTCTCACGTACGCAGAAAGAAAGCCATAAAAGCTAGAGAGACAAGCAGATAATAGTCCCCCATAATTAAGCCTTGAAGGGAGAGAGAGAGAGAGAGAGAGAGAGGTTTCTCTTAAACTCCTCCATTACAGAAAGAAAGGAAAAAGAAAACTGAGAGTTAAAAGAATGATTAATAATAAAAGAAGAAGAAGAAGAAGAAGATTAAAAGGTGATTTTAAAGAAAAAAAAGTAGAGAGAGAAAGTGTAAATTCAGACAAACAAACAGGCAGAGAGAGAGAGAGTCACATGGCATGTGAGCAAATCCCTGTGTCCACTCCCTCCACTTGATAAATACCCTTCTTACCTTCCTTATTCCGAATTTTGACTCTCTCTCTCTCTCTCTCTCTCCCTCTATCTAAACCAGCAGGTATAGCTTCTGAGCTCTCTCTAATGGCAGGCCTCAGAACCTAAAACCAAAACCTCTTCTTTTAGCACCTCAAAAGTGAACTTACAAAATGAAACCCCACAAAGCTATTTCGCACCACCACTCTCACTTCTCCTTCCCCTTCCTTCTCCTTCTTCTTCACTTACTCTTTCTCCAAGCCTTCTCTGCAACTCGCCCTGCATCCTCATCTTCTTCGTCTTCTGCTTACAGAGACACCCAGAAGCTCCTCAACTTCAAATACTCTCTTCCAAACCCAACCCTTCTCCCCACCTGGCTCCCCAACCAAAACCCATGTACCTTTAATGGTATTTCCTGCAAGCAAACCGGGGTTTCCTCCATAGACCTCAGCGGCACCGCCTTAAACACCAATCTCACCCTTGTCTCCACTTTCTTGATGACACTTGATTCCCTTGAATCTCTCACTCTAAAATTAACTTCTCTCTCAGGCTCCATCTCCTTCCCTTCTAAATCCAAGTGCAGCCCTCTCCTCACCACCATAGATCTAGCTGAGAACTCCTTGTCAGGCCCAATATCCGATGTCTCCATCTTGGGTGCTTGCTCTGCCTTGAAGTTTCTCAATCTCTCTTCAAACTCTCTTGATTTCTCCACCAAGGACTCTACAGGGTTCAGGCTCAGCCTCCAGGTTCTTGATCTTTCATACAACAAGATTTATGGCCCAAACGTGGTCCCTTGGATATTATCCAACGGTTGTGGTGACTTGCAGCAACTGGTTTTGAAAGGGAACAAGATATCAGGGGAGATGAGCAGTGTTTCTAGCTGCAAGAAATTGGAGCACTTGGACTTGTCCTCCAACAATTTCTCTGTGTCAGTTCCTACTTTTGGTGATTGCTTGGCTTTGGACCACCTTGACATCTCTGGAAATAAGTTTTCAGGCGACATTGGGCGCGCTATATCTGCCTGCAACCACCTCACTTTCTTGAACCTCTCCGTCAACCACTTCTATGGTCAAGTTCCAGACATGCCCACAAAGAAGTTGAAGTTTCTTTCACTTGCAGGAAATGGGTTTCAAGGTACATTTCCTATGAACTTATTGGATACTTGTGCAGAGCTTGTGGAGCTCGATCTTTCGTCGAATAACCTTACCGGTACGGTTCCTGATGCATTGACCTCTTGTACTTTGTTGGAGTCCTTGGACCTGTCCAGAAATAACTTTTCTGGTGAATTGCCTGATTCTCTGTCCAAGCTTGCAACTTTGGAGCGTTTGGATCTCAATTCCAACAATTTGTCTGGGCCAATTCCTGTTGGGCTCTGTGGAGATCCCAGGAACAGCTGGAAGGAGTTGTACCTTCAGAACAATCAGTTCATTGGTACTATTCCTCCAACTCTGAGCAACTGTTCTCAGCTGGTTTCTCTTGATTTGAGCTTCAATTACCTCACGGGCACCATCCCTTCAAGCTTGGGGTCTCTGTCGAACCTTCGCGATTTGATCACTATACTACCGAACGGCTCGTGCACTTGCGAGTATCACAAGTTGAGGATGCAACTGAATCCATTTTGGTGCAGCTGTATTTACGCAACAGGCACCATCCCTTCAAGCTTGGGGTCTCTGTCGAACCTTCGCGATTTGATCATTTGGTTGAATCAGCTTAGTGGGGAAATCCCACAAGAGCTAATGAACCTTCGGTCACTTGAGAATCTTATTCTAGACTTCAATGAGCTGACTGGGTCCCTTCCTGTTGGGCTAAGAAACTGCACCAGTTTGAATTGGATTTCATTGTCAAACAACAATTTGAGCGGTGAGATTCCTGGGTGGATTGGGAAGCTTTCAAAACTTGCAATACTCAAACTCAGTAACAACTCATTCTATGGAAACATTCCTCCGGAGCTCGGTGACTGTAAGAGCTTGATATGGTTGGATCTCAATACCAACTTCTTGAATGGTACAATCCCTCCTGCGCTTTTCAAACAATCTGGCAACATTGCAGTGAATTTTATCGTTTCCAAAACGTATGCATATATCAAGAATGATGGTAGCAAAGAGTGCCATGGAGCAGGGAATTTGCTCGAGTTTGCAGGGATCAGAGACGACCAACTGAAAAGGATTTCGACAAGAAATCCTTGCAACTTCACTAGAGTGTACAGAGGTATAATCCAACCAACGTTTAACCACAATGGGTCTATGATTTTTCTTGATCTTTCACATAATTCGTTATCTGGTAGCATTCCCAAAGAGATCGGGATGATGTACTATCTCTATATTTTGAATTTGGGCCATAACAACATATCTGGTTCAATCCCAGAAGAGCTTGGAAAATTGAGAAGCGTTAACATTTTTGATCTCTCTAGCAATATTCTTGAGGGGACTATTCCACAGTCTCTGACTGGCCTTTCCTTGCTCATGGAGATTGATCTATCAAACAACCGTTTATCTGGATTGATTCCAGAGTCGGGTCAATTTGAGACATTCCCTGCCTACAGATTCATCAACAATTCAGGCCTCTGTGGCTACCCTTTATCTCCATGTGTCAGAGCTTCTGGGCCAAGTGCAAATGCGCATCAAAAGTCTCATCGGCGACAAGCATCCCTGGTGGGCAGTGTGGCAATGGGATTGCTCTTCTCCCTTTTCTGCATCTTTGGTTTGCTTATTGTTGCCGTCGAAACCAAGAAAAGGCGAAAAAAGAAGGCTTCAGCCCTTGATGTTTATATCGACAGTCGTAACCAATCAGGCACTGTCAATGGCTGGAAGCTACCTGGGACTAAGGAAGCGTTAAGCATCAACCTTGCCACATTTGAGAAGCCCCTTCAAAAGCTCACTTTTGCAGACCTTCTTGAGGCCACCAATGGTTTCCACGACGACAGCCTTATAGGCTCTGGTGGTTTTGGTGATGTATACAAGGCCAAACTGAAAGATGGCAGCATTGTAGCCATCAAGAAATTGATACATATCAGCGGACAGGGTGATCGTGAATTCACTGCTGAAATGGAAACAATAGGGAAGATCAAACACCGAAACCTTGTTCCCCTCCTTGGATACTGCAAAGTAGGAGAAGAACGGCTTTTGGTTTATGAGTACATGAAGTATGGAAGCTTAGATGATGTTTTACATGAGCCAAAGAAAGCTGGCATCAAGCTGAACTGGGCTGCAAGGAGGAAAATTGCGCATGGGTCTGCGAGGGGACTGGCCTTTCTTCACCACATGTGCATCCCACACATCATTCACAGGGACATGAAATCGAGCAACGTGCTGCTCGATGAAAATTTGGAAGCCAGAGTCTCTGATTTTGGAATGGCAAGGCTTATGAGTGCAATGGACACCCATTTGAGCGTGAGCACTCTAGCAGGCACACCTGGTTATGTCCCTCCTGAATACTACCAGAGCTTCAGATGTTCTACGAAAGGTGATGTTTATAGTTATGGAGTAGTATTGCTTGAGCTGCTGACAGGAAAGCGTCCTACAGATTCAGCAGATTTTGGTGACAATAATCTTGTGGGTTGGGTAAAACAACATGCTAAATTGAAAATAAGTGATGTTTTTGATCCAGAGCTCATGAAAGAGGACACGAGCCTTGAGATTGAGCTTTTACAGCATTTAAAGGTAGCTTGTGCTTGTTTGGAGGATAGGCCATGGCGGCGTCCGACAATGATTCAAGTCATGGCAATGTTCAAGGAAATCCAAGCAGGGTCTGGGATTGACTCTCAATCAACCATAGCCACTGACGACGGAGGTTTTGGTGCGGTTGAAATGGTAGAAATGAGCATAAAAGAAGTCCCTGAAAGCAAGCAGTAGCCCAAAAAGCCATGCCAATTTTCAAGAGAATTCTTTGGAAGAAAGAAGAAACAAGGTGGAGATGATACTTTCAGCTCCCCCAATTTTTTTCCCTCTTCTTTACAACTTCAAATGCTGTGAAGCTGCCTGTTTTGCTGTACCATTTAATGTATGTAATCTTGTTATTTATACATAGAAGGTTGTTTAACTTGTTATAAATGTGTATATAAACAGCTTCAGTTGTCATGCTGCTTAAATTTGGTTCTCAGTTTCTTTCTTTTTCTTTTATAAGAGAGCATTTGGATTCAGATCAAATCCTCCAAAAGAAGCTGTTGCATCTCTCTGACCTCTTTGATGATGACTTAGGGGAGGGTTTTTTTTGGCCCTTTCCTCAGACTTAAGTCTACCTGATTTGTTCTCATTTTCTCTCTTATCGTACCCCCAACTTCTGCTCATTATCCTGATTATTGATATAGCATGGCAACCCATGTGCAGCCGAACCAAGTGCACCACCAAAACCTAACTGAGGATTTTACAAGAAACAAAGAAGATTTCTTTCTTGATAGCAAGTTTCTGTAATTTGCTGAAGTGTTATTCAAATTTCAAAATATAAAAAATATATAATATAAAAAAATGTGTATATAAACAGCTTCAGTTGTCATGCTGCTTAAATTTGGTTCTCAGTTTCTTTCTTTTTCTTTTATAAGAGAGCATTTGGATTCAGATCAAATCCTCCAAAAGAAGCTGTTGCATCTCTCTGACCTCTTTGATGATGACTTAGGGGAGGGTTTTTTTTGGCCCTTTCCTCAGACTTAAGTCTACCTGATTATTGATATAGCATGGCAACCCATGTGCCCATAATTTAAAAGCCGAACCAAGTGCACCACCAAAACCTAACTGAGGATTTTACAAGAAACAAAGAAGATTTCTTTCTTGAAATGAATTGTCTTCTAGCAAGTTTCTGTAATTTGCTGAAGTGTTATTCAAATTTCAAAATATAAAAAATATATAATATTAAAATAAATAAAAAAGGAAAGGAAAAAAAATGAAACTAGACATGTAGCACATATTGAAGAAAACGAAAATGAACGCACATATGCTGCAAATGACTTGTAATTCAAGTGGTTAAGAACATTTATTCGTGCACCTTTATATCCTAGGTTCCTTCACCATTCACATATCTGTGTCTGGACTCTGGACCATGTTCTAGAGAAGTCCCAATCCCATAATTGCAAACTGTAATCTCAAAATTGGCATGCTCGTAAGTGTCAACTACATTTGGATTCAACGTTTCCTTTCATTTCCAAAACAAAATTTAATATAAACAATAAAAAATTTGTCTCTTTTTCATCGACAGTGTGCAATGGTGCACCACACGTGCTCTCGGTCGAGACAGAGAAAGAGAGGGAGAGAGAGAGAAGGTTATAATTTCTATTCCAGCTGGGAAAATGTGCGTCTCTATTTTAATCATCAACAAAACCCCGACCCCTTGAGAAACAAATAAAATAATTGTTGGCTAGATGAACATTATCAACTTGTTGTGTGAGATCTTGACTTGGAACAGAGCCCAACGTCCCCACCACCCATGCCATGACTAAGATGTCATTTTATGTATTTATTCCTTTCCTAACTTGTGATAAGTTTGCATATTATATATATATAAGGGAGTTAATTTTCACATTCTTCTTTTGTTTACTTACACTTCCTTTGTTAAAAATCCACTCCTTTTTTGTTCACGTACACTCCCTTTTTTGTTATAATAATAACAAAAAAGGGAGTGTAAGTGGACAAAAGAGGAGTGAGATAATCAACATCCTATATTAAAGGTACTCATAGATAATAGGGTTAGCTGGTGATTTGCCCCATGAACTTGTACCTAACTTTTGATTTGCTCCCTATTTTTTTTAATTAGAAAATTAAGGATATGAACCTTTTTTTTTGCCAATTTCCCCCATACCGTCTAAATTCTTAACATTTCATCCAATTTTCAGTTAAATCATTTATTTTTTATTTTTTATTTGGGAAAAGGATGAAGAAAAAGAGTAAACCTAGTGCCAACCCCTCCTTCCTCCTAATCAGTGCATAATTATATATCATTTTGTTATGTTTTTGAATTAAACTTGTGCATTTTAATCTCTTTTGTCTTTGTCATTCAGTTAATTAAGCTTTAGGTAGCAATGGTGGCTTTGGATACGAAAAGATGCAAAATGGTGCAAAAACGTACAAATTGAGTTAGCAATTTATTTCGGCCTTAACTCCTTCCTCCGACCTTAGAATGGCCCAAATCACATGTGGTTGGAAAGATGACATTCTGAACTTCAAGATGGACAGCTCAAAGTCACCAGTTGCTTAAGGGAAGCCCAATTCGTGAGCCCATGAAGTTGCTAGTCATGCTGACCTAAGGATGAACTGATTGTTGCTTGGTCATTATGAGCTATGCATGAACTATGGTTTCTTGTGGGATTTGTTGGTGAAGTGCAATAGCCAAATAAGAAAAGAAACTGATTTTCAATTGCATTGGTGTGTTAGGTAAGGTTGGTAAAGTGAGTGTTGTAGGTGAAAGCCATACTCAATTGAGATTTCTCACTTCCTTCTCCCTATAAATACCAATTCCATTCCACACCAAAATGAACCACATCCTAGGATTCACACCCCCATAAATCACTCCATCCATCCTCCACATTCCCATCATTCCCCAAACACATTCAGAAATCACCCTCAAACACTCCCACAACCTCAAACACTCCAGCAATTAACCCAAAGCTCTAAACAGCCCAATATCACCAAAACTATCCCAGCAAGCCTCTCTTCCCATTCTCTACGAATTTCCTCTTTCTCAGCCATCACCACTCACCCAAACTCATCCCAAAACATCTTCTTAACCATTATACATCTTTCTAGACGTGGGGAAGCTCTTGGAGAAGCATTAGGTGTGGAGAAGCTCTTAGAGAAGCATTGGACACAACAAGAACTTCAGAAAATGATTTTTCTACTCCTGTTGTATTCATTATGTTCTCTCAATTATGTTCATGTTATTTTGGCATTATGAGTAGCTAAATCAATATATAGGGTTTCAGTGTAACCTAACATGAATATTATGAGTATATAAGTTTCAAGTTTTAACTTTGATTCAAGATTTTAGTTCTTATTCATTACGCTTAGTTGATAATCATTAGTCGAATTGCTCCCTCTCTTGGACTTTGCCACCTTTCTTCCAATAGGCATCGGCACCCTTTGAATTGGTGAGTCTTGATTCATTGAGAACTCCAACGGCGAATCCGATGCTAGTGAATTATGAAGCGGTTTCTCATTCAACACAACGCTTGGACCCATGGGAATAATTTTGAATATCGAACAATTTTTCACAACCTTCCAACATTGGTGATTGTTGAAAGATTTTTTGCCTTGGCCAATGGCATCGAACCACATTTGTGCTTGCATAATCTATAATTAAAAAAAATAAAAATATAAGAAAATATCAAAACATGACATTAAATTTAATAAAATGGTAATTACAAAAAATTTACCTCGTTGCCAAGATTTTCACCGGTTCGAACGTTGTCCTTTGCTTTTGCCAACACATCTCTCTATTTCCCTAACTCTTTATTCAAAATGTCCCACTTACTAGCCAATGTCATTTCCTTATGAGCCGAACCCGATCTTTCACAAAAGTCGGCATGAATTTTTCTCTACATATTAGAGAGCTTCATCTCATTGCCAGTGATAAGGCAATGACCAACTTGGACCCAACACTCACACAACAAAACATCTTCCATGGTAGTCCATGACCCCCCAGCTTCAATGGAAGAGACCATTTGTATTTTTACACAAATGAAATTTAGTAGTAGAAAATTTGGTGTGGAAAGTGAATAAATTGGAAGGATAAGAATTTGTATGAAGATTTGGTGTGGAAAGTGAAGAATATTGGTAGGTATTTATAGAAAAAAAAATTCAGAATTTTTTACAAATTTGTACGAAATTTTTTTTACACAAAAATTGACAGCCGTTGGATTAGAGAAGAAATATTGGATTGGACACCCTAGGAAGCGTCACGTGGCTTCTATCCATTAGGAGAAAGCAAGGTTGACGCTAGGCTGGCGTTAACGCATGAAATTTTGTATTTTTTTTTTACCATTGGCGCGTGTACGTCACGCGTCAACAGTAAAAAAAATTCAAACCTATGCATTGACGCCATGCTAATGTCATCAACCTTTAGGCAATAGCATTGGCTTGATTTGCCTTTGGGCTTGCCGGGATTGGTGGCCCTCACCTATTGCCCGGGCTGCAATACCACACTGGAAGCGCTTCATGGGCCTAGGGGCCCCTCCTACCCGGGCTGCTTGCGGCACTGGAAGTGCTCTAAGGACACATTTAGGAATGCTTTTGTAGGCGCTCTTCTATTCATAAGCGCCTCTACAAGTTTAGAAAGTCATTCCTGAAGAAGCACATTGTAGGTGTTTCTTCAGAAATCACTTTTGTGACCCATAAACACTTCTAAGTTTTTCTACCAAATGCTATCGATATCGATTTTGGATGTGAGAAAGTGCTTCCAGCCCAATTGAAAACAGTCTTAAAAGCCCTAAATCATTTTTTTGATGGGTTTTTATTCGAACACAAGACCTCATGTGCACTGGTAATTGCTCTTAACCACTTAAACTACAAACCTCTTACTATTTAATTATAATTAAATAAATACTTAAACACATTTTATTTGATAAAAATACTGAAATGATCATTATAATAATAATAAGATGCCTAATTAATTTATCATTTAACTAATAATATCATATCATATTGTGGTTTAAAAGCTTTTGAGCACCTTTCCCTTAGAGCATCTCCAAGGGATAGAGCAAAAGAGTAGGCAAAGTTAATTTGCCTTGCCACATCAACATTTTCATGCTCCAACGAAACATGTAAATGAGTAGGAAAAATATACATACTCTTCCCAATAAGGCAGTGTTGCCTACTTCAAAAGCATTAGGCAAATTGGATCTCACATGTTCTTAATTTTTAGTTGGTAGTAACTTTTTTCCACCAACTATCCCACATGTTTTTAATGATATAATAATGGTTGGTACAATTGCACTGTCTAGTTTATTGGAGTGATTTTTTTTATTTTTTCATGAGGCAAATGGGTAGGCGACATGTCACTTAAGTAGTTAAAGTACATATTTGCCTATTTCACTTGCCTTATCCATTGGAGATATACCAGGAACACTAGGATATGAGGTTAAAAAAGATACTTTTTCATACACAAAAGCTGAGGCGTAAAATTTAAAGCC